TCTGCATTCTTGGTAAATCGTGCCACCACAATTTTTGGCGTTGTCGTTATCGGAGCTCCAAGGACCGGAGTTTGCCCGCAGCGACCGACGTTGTCGGACGACCACTGGACAATGGGAAAAGAAGTCTTTTGTTTTTTCAGCTTCTGAGAAAGCTGACCTGTCTTCCTCTGCTGATCGTGTCCGGGTTGTGATCTGTCCTTACTTCGGCCACTGTAGGTGACTTTTGGGACTGGAGCTGAAAAGAACCTGTCTGTGACAGAAACACGGTGAGCTAATATTTTCATTAGCACCTTATGCAAAAAGCCATGGTTATTTTCGGCCCACCACACACTGAAATTCTAATTGTTAGACGCTCGTCTGGTTGCTTCTGTGGTTGTTGATTTTAGCCGAGGTAGATTTCAGGAGCATTTTATTCCAAATCAAGTCAAAACAGGGAGTTTAGCTTTGTTTTGTGGTAGCCAAGAAGACATTGTTTGTCTTGATGATTGTAGGCAGTTTATTTTTGTTTCTGTTGAGGAGACACAGTAGGCTAAAAGTCATTTTTTTCAAAAGGCGGCTGCCCAATTTTCTTTATAAGAAAGTTGCATACGGTAGTGCACTGGGCACGAGTTATAACAATGGATCTAGGTTGATTCTGTTGTTCAGCCAATGAATGCGACCGGCGGGCCTTTGAGCACAGGCGATGGTAAACAAATACGGCGCTGGAAGCCGTTAAAGTGTCTGTGGGTATGGAGTTGATAAATTAGCATTCCCGGACGGTGGTAGTTTTAGTCTTAGACAGCTCAGCCGCCTCCGTGATCACTTACTGGAACATGAATCAAAGCTTAAAATCAAGAAGAATGATAAAAGGTTGTGTTGAAACATTTTTAATAACATGTTTTAGTCTCTCTGTTTTCCAGGACTATTAAATGGAGCGGATTGGGGGTTTCCTGTTTCGGCCCCGCAGTGTCATCTCCTGTGGGTGCGGCAGGTGACCAGGGCCCGGTCCCCCCGCCGTGGACCGTGTGTTGACAATAGGAGGGGGCACGCGGGGACGACAGATTACCCGTTTTCTCCAGCAACAAAACCCACTAAGAGAAGCATAAAAACATTTGTTTTTTAACTAACTCTCAAGTTTTAAGTGAATTTACAAAAAACAAACAAACAAACAAACACCATTGCTGTGCTTTGAGTTGTAATTAATACAAAAAATTAAACCACATTAGAATGCTAGAGGCATATATATTTTATTAAAGGCACAGAGTTTGATACTTTTAATTAATGAAACTGTTTTTCATGTGGTGAAACGTCCCTGGGGACTAATGGTTAAAATGGATTTTGCTGAACTAGTGTTTTTATTTTTGTTTGCTTGTTTCTGTTACAAATGCCTTTGAGTCAATATAAAAAAGTGGAAATTTGTTCAATTGCCTGAAGCAAGGGGAGAGTTCTTTTTGTTTTATTTTAAAATATACGATACAGAGAAGCAAAAAATGTAATAAAACATTCCAACTTGAAATAGACTGCATGATTTGTTCACATGCCATTTAAAAATACACAAAAGTATTTCAAACAGACCAACAAAAAGTGATTTTGGTTGTCTAACTGAGGGTGTTTTATGAAGATTTTTGTTGGAACAACATTAACAGGCATTTTTTKGGGGGAAAAATGTGTTAAAATGCCTGACATTATCTGCATGCTGTTGAGTAAATAGAGAAAACTGTACCGGTAATTTCCTTTTTTTTGCGTGTGTTTGGTTTTTATTTAACTGGGGATTTGGTTTCCTGGTGACCCTCTGCTCTTCCCGCATCCACTCCAACCCCAAGACCTGGGCCAGACCGATGATGGACAGTGATGCTGAGACCAGAAGACTGTATAAAGGCCAGCGCTCAGAAGATCATCCACAGCCCAGCACCATGAAGGTGAGATAACGTTCTCATTTCTGCCTGTTTGCCTAAAACCTCCCCACCCCACAACGATTTTCAACATGCAACTGCAGCGAAGACCTTGGAACTGCGTGACTGATATCTTTCCAGCACTTTGGAGAAGACTGAGAAAGTTGCCGTTATGAAACAAAGCTTCAAAGTCTGACAGTCACACAGCCCAGCACCTGCTGCCACTCTACGGGGCTACCATCACCCCATCGTCAGATCAGTCAGCCTGTCGCTACATGACAAGCTGTGTGACAAATGGCATCATCAACATAAGACCTGCAAAAMAACGGCATAAGTGACCGTCACAAGACTGCTGTGGAATGGACAAGAGAGAGGGGGGAGTGACGCTCTCTGAGAGGCTTCACAGCATCATCGCCTCAATCTATGCAAACAAGAGCACATCTGTGGATGGACAKGGCGTTTCTGGGTCCAAGTCGACCAGGGACAAAGTGATGACCACGACCAGGCTGGTTTCTGGGGGAAGAGTGGGCACGGATGGAGTCAGACGGCCAGCCAGCCCGCCCATAGAAAAGATGAGTAAACACACACACGCTCTCATATGTTCTGTAAAAGAAACTTTTCTATCTTTCATTTCATAATTGTACGAATAGTAAAAGATACGGGAAAAAAGAAACAAGACAATAGCTGATCTGAAATATGAACTTTGACAAGTATATGTTGAACAAAATATCTGGCATTATTTTWAAGAATGTTTGATAACAAGTGTAGAAGCTTTTTCTATAATCCTTTTTGTTTCTGTGTTTTTATTTCTCTGTGGGTTTTGGACACTGCTCCTACGGCCTGCGTCTGGCCACTCCCCCAACCTGGCCCGTCCACCAACTTTGATGAGGAGGGGGGGCCGGGGAACCTGGTTCAGTGTGAGGTGCGGCTGACTGTGTGATGACCACTACGTGCCGGGTTTCGGCGGTGGGGGGACAGACAGTCCAAAATGGCACCGCCCTCCCATAAAAAGATGAGTAAAACACAGACACATGCTCATACATTCTTGAAAAAAAGGGAAAAGAGGAAAATTTGTCTACAGTTTTGACCCACATCAAATTCTTTAATTTTTATTGTCTGTTTGGAAAAAAAAAGCCTTTTGTTAACTGCGACAACGTTTTTCTGTCATTTTAGGCCTCACATGTGGAAAAGCCTTTAATTTTGAATTTTGGGTTTATTTACATTATTTGACAAAGGCTATATTAGTTTGTTCTTGATTACTATTGTTCACCGAACAATAGTGCTAGCTCTATTTGTCTGTATATCTTTTCCTTTTGTGACTAATTTTTGGCTTTAAGGGCGAACCTGATAATTTTATTTTTTCTTGGAWTATGTTTTTKTSAGATGTTATTTTGACCTGGGTGTTTTTGTTGGTTTTTGAAACCTTATCTTTTCCCCTGCATATTAAAGAGCCCAGTCACTTACAAAAAAGTCCTCAGAGGGAAAAAAAACCTGGTTAAACGTGTTGATAAGGAAGTACTGTTTGCATATTTTTTTATCTAAAACTAAATACGATGACAGTGAGTCTGCAGAGACACCACAGCGTATGCAGTCTAACAGACCTTTCGTTTAAATACACATTGTSGGGTATTTCAGATCTGACCTTGTTTCCCCCCATGTTGTTGAAAAACATTCTAAAACATACTCTGGAAAAGTGGGTGGACCTCCACTCCTAGTTGCGTTGCGTTGCACGTGTTTGTACATCTGTCTCCTCAAACATTTCATATCGTCACATCTTTCGCCGCTGCTCAGCTTTTACCTCAGCCACTTCAGGGTTTTTATCTCATGACGAGACCTTATCTGTGTGGCTCAGTGGGAGCTGTCCAGCACCCCGCGATCTGGCCCACTCATACTCGCTGGATCTCAACTGAGGCACAGTTAAAGGGTGTGGGGGCCCAGCTCGTGGGTGTTTGAGGGAGGGGGGTGCATGTGTGTGCGTGTGTGGGGGTGATGATGACATCGGTTCCTCCTAGGTTTTTTTCCACCACATATGTAAAGCTGAGGCTGCAAATTTGTTGGTCTTACAGAGACGTGCAGCAGAGCTGATAAGTTACTTGCATAAATACATAAAAGGAAAAACTAAAAGTCTGTTTCACAGGCAGTTCCTGGGAGGCCAGTCGAATGTATTACATTGCTAAATGAATGATGAATAAACTTTTGCTATAAAGCAGCAGAGACTATTGCAATCTGTGTGCTTAAAGAATATGACACCTGGCGTCCCCCTGGCCTTTGTTCAAAGAACAAGGGCATTTTTGTTTATATATGAGGATAAGACGGAGAACTGATGTGTTTTTGAGTGATATTATTTATAAACTACAATTGTATAATTTAATCATCACCATTTTCACACACTAACTGTCTGTCTGACATAAGCGTTTTTGAATTTTTTCTAAATTTTGTTTTTCTCTCTGGGCGTTTGTGTGAGTTTTTCTGCAGGGCGAATGCTGTTCTCACCGGGGGTGCTCCATTTCTACCTGGAACCAGCTGTCTGCCACCTCGTGCTAGCCTTTCCAACAGGCGTTTCCTGGGGGTCCTTTTGGGGTGGGGGGTGGGGGGTGACATGAGAGCCCACAGTACTCTGAGACATATTTAACAGAAATTATTTTACACTCCCATCAGGGACTTGAGGTTCTCTTTTGAGACAGAACTTTTTGTTTGGTGGCTTCAAGACTTTTGACCTCCGTTCCTCTGCCTCTCAGATTAGCAGACTCAGTGGCCTCCTTACAGGACCAGCTGAAAACTAACCTTGTTAAACCTGCTTTTGTCCATATTTGCTTTGTGTATTTGTTGTTCTGTTTGTTGAAGCACTTTGTGATTTTTATCTTGAAAGGTGCTATATAAATAAGTTTTATGTACCTTTAGGGCGGGTGCAGCGGAGTAGGTTAGAGCAGTCATCCTCCACTAAGAATGTTCAAGTACAAACTCATAAACCAAAGTACCATTAAAAGCATTTGCTTAAAACTTATAATATATCAAATATCTCTTTACTAAAACACACTGCATCTACAGCTGGTGAACTTCTGGAGTCAAAGGAATTCCAAGATGGCTGTCACAGCTTAAAAAACAAAATGGATATAACTGTCAGTTTTACAGCTATTGTTAAAATTTAATGTGGTTGTAGATGTGTGTTAGTTACTTATGTAAATTATTGTTTTCTTCATTTTAAAACTCAAAAATGACAGTATTCAGAGAAAATTGGCTAACAAAATAAATAAATTAATTAATTAAAAATAAATAAATAAATAGTTCTAAAAAAAGTCTGGCAAAAATTTTAGTATTTTTGAAAAATAAATTTATTGTGTCTAATGCCAACTTCATTTTTGTGATTTTTTTATTTGCATTGTTATATGTATTTAAGTGTGCTTATTTTGTTCTCCAGGATGTTTATAGTTATCTTATTCTAGTGTGCTTTACTTGTTTCTTCTCAAATTGTTCCACCTGAACTGTTGCAGCTGTAATAAGTAATTTCACTCGGGGATCAATAAAGTAGTCTGAATCTGATTAATGCAATTTTTAAAAACATTTCAAATGACAGTAAAAAGAAACAAAAAATGATATGTTTCTTTCAACCTCTCTCTGCCATTTACAGTTCACAAACTATATGTTTTTGTTTTGTTTTCCAGAAGAACAGTAAGTTCTTCTTGTACTTCAATCTTCTCCTTTTTCTTGTAACCTACTGAAGCAAGCAGTGTGGACCTCAGCTGGGATGATTTGAAGGACATTAAATGCGTGGTAGACGTCTCGCTCGTAAAGTTATGTTGAGTTTGGTGGTCTCACAGACCAGGGGTCATCACTTCAAACAGAAAGAGCTACACTAACAAGCTTTGTGTCATCATGCAGCAGCTCATCCATTGTTGTCAGAACATCACTATTTTAGCACAACACCTGCTTCAAGGTGCATCAGAGGGTGGGCTGACTTCGACCCCCCACTACCTCGGTCCATTCAGCCCAATGACTTTAAAGTGATCCCTGATTAGTTGTAACATTAGACTTTATTTAATAAACATTTATTTTAACTGTGAAAATAAAGACTGTAAAAATATTGTAGAAGGTTCAGTTTTTATCATTTTTAAACTAAAAGTTTAAAATGCAAAGCCTGCAACTGAAAATATGGATGGAGGACCTCAGTTTAGCTTGTTTGTCGTGCTAGCACCGAGCTAATACATATAAGGCAATATAGTGTTGGCGCTAGCGCGAAGGCTAACAGGCTAATCTGAGGTTCTTCTTCCATGAAGCAGCTCTGTTGTCCTCCATCCATATTTTCAGTTCCAGGCTGAGTCATTTCTACCTTCTCC